GGACTTCGTATAGCCCGAGCACCTTGCGCGCGGAATCGTCGAGTTTGTCATGGTTGATTTTGATGTGCGCGAGAGCGGCATAGAACTGAACGTCGACATCACTCAGCCAGGGCGCAAACTTGAGGGTGGACATGGTGGGCGGTAATAGCAGATGGTGGGGTTGCGATAAGACGGAGTGAGGATGCGTGGCGAGGCGGAGATGTAGTATGCAGGGGATGTGTCCTAGCAGGCAATGATGATGCCAGTCATACGAGCAAAAGCAATACACGTGCAGCTGTCAAGGGCGCCTGCATGTGACAGTGAATGTCCCAGTGATGCTGAGGCAGCCGCACGCTTCACCCCGCGCCTTGTCATGGGTCCAGCCCTGAGCGATCGATGAGGCCCCGCCACGCTAGACGCGTTCCTGCAGCCGACCACGCGCCTAGCCGCTGTTAGCAATCCGAGATTCGATCCACGAGTCCGCCCTTGCTGTTCTCCGGTTACAGCACATTCGGACAATATCTATCGCTATGCTTATTGGATTGTGCGGAGGCAAGCACCGTCCGAGATTACATGAGACGAGGCTGACAGGGCACAGGAATATGCGCGGGCAAGTCGTCGATAGCTTCGTACCTCGTTGAGGAGCACCACTTCACCCGCCTACGCCTGGCCCGAACTGCTGAGACGCCTCCAGAAGAGAAGTCAGCTTCCAACACACGTGTTCCTTCGCCGGTCAAGTCGTCCGTAGACGCACAGCATACCTTCCCGAACATCGACTCGCTACTCGACTTCGTCACGCTGAGATGGAGAGAACGATTCGTTACAACGGACATATGGGACGAAACTGTGGTTGATGCCCTCCTCAGGCGCCCTTTCTTCCTCCTCGTCAGCGTCGACGCGCCTGTTAGTGTGCGATGGCAGCGGTTCAAGACCCGATGTGCTGCCACCGACCACACACCGCCTACTCTCGAGGAGTTCGTTCTACGCAATGACAAACACTTGTTTGCTCCCAGAACAGGGCTGAGCGCCCTCTGTCAGAGAGCACAGCTGAAGCTACTCAACTCCTCGTCCGACATGGCTTCCCTGCGCAGTGCCATACTTTTCCTGGACCTCATGGACGAGGCCCGTGTACGGCCAAGCTGGGATCAATACTTTATGCAGTTGGCAGACCTGGCCGCGCGCAGGAGCAACTGCATGAAGCGACGAGTCGGTTGCTGCATAGTACGGGAGAAGCGTGTGATTAGCACCGGGTACAACGGTACCCCACGTGGCATGACCAACTGCAACGAGGGCGGATGTACGTTCACACTTGGGAATCCCCACGACACAGACTAATAACGTACAGGCCCTCGCTGCAACAACGCCGCACAGGGAGGTGTTGGTCTCTCCACCTGCCTCTGCCTGCACGCCGAAGAAAACGCCCTCCTCGAAGCCGGTCGCGACCGCATCGGCGAGAACGCCATTCTATACTGCAACACATGTCCCTGCTTGACCTGCAGCGTCAAGATTACACAAGTTGGCATCAGCGAGGTGGTCTATAACCAAGGCTACCTCGTGGACGACCAAACAGCCAAAATCTTTACTGAGAGCGGCGTCAAGCTGCGCCAGTTCTCGCCGCCTGCAGACGGCCTGGTGGATCTGAGCATCGGCGTGGGCGCAGACAAGCAGGAAGAGGACAAGGCAGAAGATGCTAGGGAGCTACTCGATGATATGAACTTCCTGCGACCTGTGGACAATTAGGACCAGCTGTCAGGATAGACAAGCCAAATAGAAACCAAGCTGTCCGACCCGCATGTAGTCAGATGGGAACGGCTGTTGGCGCGTGGTGGCGCATGGCGGCGTTGCTCAAGCCAACGCCCCACGAGGTGCGACCGCATGTCAAAGGCCACTACATGTCTTGGGCAACGGCATCATGCCACTTCCGGCGCCTTCAGACCTTCTGTTGGTCGCCAATTGCGATGCGCATCGTTCCAACTTCGACAAGCTAGAGTTGGCGTTCGGGTACCGACGATGAAAGGATAGTTACAAGAAGGGCTGGCCATAGCACAGCCTTGCCGGGCAACACCGCCACGCACGCGCGACCGTCAGCAACGGTTCGGTTCGCCCGCGTGGCCCTTCTCATATTAACAACCTCAAAAACGCGCAACACTTATACTTTGCATTCGGCCCATGACGTTTGACCTTGAGAGTTCCGTAACTCGTGTTGCTGACTTCTCATTTCCCCGCCTCAACAGTACCCTGAAGTTTAACAAGCTTCGGCCCGCCTCGTCGGGTTGAACTTGGGCCTGATGACGCGCCCACGCGGCGCGGTACCAACACCGTCACTATTACGGTCACCGCCATGCGATAGCAACATGAGTCTTTCGTAATTCGCTTTACGAAGACATACGGAAGATATACCGCTTGTCGTCGTCAATGTACCTACGGTAGCCGTGCTATCGTCTGTCGATCCACCAGCTTGACCAAGCCTCGACAAGCATCCGCTTCCGAGGCTTACTCTCTGAGCTGGTCTGGGCACAATGAATGCACTAAACAGAGCCGCGGCGAATCAACGCCAAACATCATGCAAAAGTCTCGGTCTAATCTTCGTATAGTCCTGCTTCAGGAAGGTGCCTAAGGTTGTGCTTCTGTTTGCACTGCGTCATCTCGCATACCTCGTTGGTGCTCGCCCTTCGGCTACGAATCTCAACGCGATAGCATGCCCTGCACGACCCGGAAAGTGGCGTTTGCGAGGTTTATTACCGAGCCTTGCTGGTGCCTCCGCCAACCTCCTGCTCTTCCGGGGTAAGCGCAAGGGTCTGTATACCGCAATGCCGTCACGTAGCAAACGTTCAAATACTCGCCTTGGGCCCGGTTCTTCCGTGCCAGCTCACAGCCGCTTTCATCAGTCAATTCCAAGATGAAGCTCCTTTCAGTGGTTGGTTCTTTGCTGTGTGCTTCTACAGCTCTTGCTGGAAGCTCGCCACACAAGCGTGGTGTGTTTGAGAAGGTCAGGCCTGCTGTCGAGAGGCGTATGCCGGGAGAGGCTTTCAAGCATCCCGAGATCCAGAGGCGTGCCGAGAGCTTCTTCTTGACCAACAAGACTGAGTGTTAGTATTTATTGTCATACTGTCATACATCAGACTAATAAGCCAATAGCCTTCGCTGTCAACGGTACTGGTATTCCAGAGGTTCCTTTCGACATTGGCGAGAGCTACGCTGGTCTGCTGCCCATCTCGGATGACCCGGAGGAGACGCGAAAGCTCTTCTTCTGGTTCTTCCCTTCGACCCAGGCTCAGACCCCCGAGGAAGTTGTCATCTGGCTCAACGGTGGCCCAGGATGCTCTTCGCTCAGCGGTTTCCTCACGGAGAACGGCCCGTTCACCTGGGAATCTGGCACTCTCGCCCCGGTCCAGAACCCCTACTCATGGACCAATCTCACCAACATGCTCTGGGTTGAGCAACCCGTAGGTGTTGGATACTCGCAAGGTACTCCCAACATCACCGACGAGGTTGAGCTTGGCAATCAGTTCCGTGGTTTCTATAAGAGCTTCGTTGATCTCTTCGGACTCTACAACTGGAAGACCTACATCACCGGAGAGTCCTACGCTGGTTACTACGTCCCCTACATTGCCGACAGCTTCATCACTGCCGATGATGACAAGTACTTCAACCTTGCCGGTATCTCCATCAACGACCCCATCATTGGTGACGAGACCATCCAGCAGCAGGTTGTCCTTCTCCCATTCGTCAACTTCTGGCAGAACCTGCTCTTCCTGAACGACACGTTCATGGAGCAGATCACCCAGCACCACAAGGAGTGCGGTTACACCGACTACATGGACAAGTACTTCACCTTCCCCCCTCCCCAGGGCGCTTTCCCCGTTCTCCCCGACCCATACAGCTCGGAGAACTACACTTGTGACCAGTTTGACAACTTCTACTCTGCCATCCTCGAGGTGAACCCCTGCTTCAACATCTACCACATCACCGAGACATGCCCGCACCCATACTCCCAGCTCGGCATAGTCAACACTGGCGACTACTCGCCCCCAGGCGCCGAGATCTACTTCAACCGCACCGACGTCAAGATGGCACTCCACGCCAACGTCAGCACCGAATGGCTCCAGTGCACCAACACCAACGTCTTCGGCAACGGCGACGACGAAGGTTCCGACCAATCCCCCGGCCCCGCCAACAACGGCGTCCTCCAGCGCGTCATCGAGTACACCAACAACACCATCATCGGCTCCGGCGACCTCGACATGCTCCTCAGCACAAATGGAACCCTCTTCGCCATCCAGAACATGACCTGGAACGGCGCCCAGGGTCTCTCCGAGTACCCCACCACCCCTCTGTACGCGCCTTACCACCCTGAGTACAACGGCGGTGCGCTTGCGGGTGCTGGTTACCAGGGTTACTGGACTGCGGAGCGTGGTATGATGTTCTACACTGCCCGTCTTGCTGGCCACGAGCTGCCTGGCTATACTCCTGGTGTTGCGTACCGCATGTTGGAGATTCTCCTCGGACACATCAAGGACTTCAGCAGCACTGAGAACTTTGTCACGCAGACTGGTAACTTCACTGGTACTGGTACTATTTACAGGAGGGGTCTTGGTATGGGTAGCATGCAGTTTTAGATGTGCATGAGGAAGATCTGATGAATCAAGGAATATGTAAATGGAACTCAAATGATACCACCATACTTTATTTGCATACCAAGTTCATTCATGTGATAAGTGCGATTTCGTTCAAGGGGCAGATGGCTGCCCAGTCGACCGTTGTTGGAATGCCGCACTTGACGTTGTGCTGTGCTTTGGGTTCTGCATATGACTCGAGTCGGATCTAATCGCCGCCGCCGCTCGAAGACCCCCACCACACAAATTTTCACGACCACAGCAACGTCATCTGGGAACGACTTGAGTGGTTTGACCTCAATGAAGCAGCGTGCACGCCAATGCTGCATTGCATGTTTCGAGGATATATTTGCACAAATGTCAAGGTTTGCCATCAACCACCTACTCAACTATCAAGTTGATCAATCTTCAGTAGTATAGTGGTCAGTATTTCCGCTTGTCATCTTGCAAAAGACAACTCGCGGGAGACCGGGGTTCAATTCCCCGCTGGAGAGCTTTCCTTTTTGCTCTTCCTGCTTCCCCGCAGCTGCCCACAGTCTTGGTGGATGTCATGACATGTGATTAGTGATCACGTACATGCTTTTTGCGTGTCACGGAAGCTAGGCATAGTGGATAGTGTTAGAGTAGTCTTGGGAAGTGTGTGCGGGATCTCAAATGTTGTTTTTTGTCTTCGTGGCTAGGTTAGGTCCGCGGGTTTGAAAATAGACCGCGGAAGCTAGGGGTAGTAGATGCAGAGGGGCTTGTAGTCTAAGGGTGCATAAGAAGTGTATTATGTACATGGGGACTTGCAGGTTGTTTTTGCTGAGAAGGGTGTTTGGGGGTTTTGGTCCGTGGTTTGGGGATGGCAGCGAGGCGAGGCGGAACATGCTGGACACTAGGGATACGCTATTTAGATGGTGCTTTTGGGGACTAAATACGTGCGCTTCTTGGGTTATACGTGTGCTTCTTCAATCTGGATTTGTGCGGATGCTTCGTGAGGTTTATTGGGGCGGGCTAGGTACCTAGGTACGCGGCAGCGCGATGTTGCGGGTGGTGCCCGCCTGGCCGCTTGCACCGCAAGTGCCCAACCATCCGTCGCTGCCTTCTTACATTCCCCAATGCCCTCTATCCCCGCCCGACGCATGTTGCGGTATACCATGTTGTCGCACATGCGCGCCTAATCGCTAACGTTCACATGCAACAGTGTCGCAAAAAGCAAATTGTCGTTATTCTGCAATACATTACTATTAACACGGAAACCACGACAAAAAGAGCAAAAGAGAATGCGCCATTAACCCCGGAAGCCAGACTGGAACACATTCATGGTTCGCGCTGCGATTGTGGTGATGTCAAACGATGCTCGAGCAAATGCTCCCTTGAAAGGTCCAACACTCTCCTGATCAGCTCCTCCGAAAGCTCTACCTCGTCGTATTTTGAGATCGCAAGAGCAGTCCTAAGCAGATTCTTTATCTGACGGCCGTTCAGTTCGTACCTATTGTTAGGTATCAGCAACGCCACGTAGTGTCTGCAGGTACTGCTTACTCGGTTCCGAGACGCGACAATGTCGCCTCGTCCCACTGTCCAGACCCGACTTTCTTCAGAAAGTTTCTCCAGATGTTAGTACGACGAATGCTATCGAGCGCTTCGTATCGGATAGTCAGGTGAATCCGAGATTCAAATGCCGTGTCAAAGTCTTCGAGACGGTTTGTCGTCAGGAACATGGTGCCCTTGTAGTATTCGATGAGGCGAAGAAAAACTTTGCGAGTTGTTAGCCGCCAGGGACTTCAAAAGGCCGATTCGTTCGTTGACGTTTAAGTCTCGCTGGAGGCTTACCTGAAACATAAGCGTTTCGCTTGAGATCGGTTGCGGTCCTTCGAGCCAGAAACACGTCTGCTTCATCGAGCAATATGATGGCGTTCCACGCCTTTGCTCGGGTGAATATCGTACGAAGTTGCACATCTGTCTTCTCAATGTCTGTGCCCAACTCGCCACTGGTTATGGAATACATGGGACATTTCTTATGCTCAGCTACGGCCTCTTGATACCGTTAGCTCAATGTTCCGACATCGCTCACGCTGTCACGTACCTGCTGTAAGGGTCTTGCCGAGCCCTGGCTTGCCGTAAAGCAGGAAGACAAGGCCTTTGCCTTTCCCTGGCACGATGTCCTCCTCATGTCAGCATCGATTTGGACACATCAAACAGAACTTACTTACATCGAAGTCATCTTGGTTCTGATGCGCTGAAACCATAGCGAGGATTGCAGTCTTCATTCTGGCATCCAATTCGAGGCTATCAAATGCATTTGGGTGCCATTCAATATCCCGTACCTCTTCGACCAAAAAGAAAGCCCATATCTTCTCTACAAACGAGTATCCTCTTACTCTAGCAGGAGTTAGAAGGGCTTGGTCATCAGATATCCTGTAAGCTGGAGTCCTGAGATGAGACATGAATCTGTCTTCCTTCTCACTGGCCTTGCGCGCCATGCTGTGGTCCCCGATCATGTCATAGTCTCTTTTGACTGTGTATTTATCGTTGTAGTCCATTGTGGCGCCAGATGTCGAAAGGAACGTCGCAAGACGGGGCGTAGCTTGTGCGTGCGTCTCGTAGTCTAACATGATCCGCCCTGACACCTGAGTATGTTAATAATGGTCAAAGCCTTGATGCCACACTTACATGACCTGGTATCAACTTGTCCACATGTGTGATAGGCTCATGAGGAGGCTCCGACCAAGCCAATGCTGCTTAGCCCGTTAGCTAGTACCAAACGGCCAAGTCGAATACTGACCATTATAATGCATGTGGGTCTTTTCCAGGATCTCTCTCCACTTCCGTCCTCGTTGTATCAGCCTTTCTCTCAGGCTTTCCGTGTCTTCTTTCTTGTGAAACCGTATGGGATACACCATCAAGGTATCGATTTTGACCGGGGTAGGAAATTCCCTGATCTTGAGTTTCTCCCCACACATACCGAAACGTGTACCATTGTAGTCCCATCTCTTGGCCTCGATCTTGAAATACGGCGTCAGGTCGTCATCGGTGCCTTGGCGAACTTCTGGCACGTATTCGCAAGTATCGACTGTGTAGCATTCGTCGAAGTGGTCGCCTTGAGCAATGATCACCTCTTCCGGCCTAAACAGCGTCCAGAGTAGAGGATAAGAGACCATTCGGTACGGTTCAGAATGTCCGTAATCACGTTCGGTCTGCGAGAGATTCTTGTCCATGAACTTGATTAGCACATCCAAGTGCTCTTTCTCGACCACGGTCCTTGAGTCGTCGGAAGCATAGCTCCGAAGCTCCTTGCGGTAATGGAACAGCGGCGCGTACGGCTTAGAGATAGCGACCAAAGCAGAATCGAAGTTCATCGAGGGATGATCTCCCAAGACATTGCGGAAGGCTCTCAGTATATGAGGTGATCGAACTTCGAGATCTATCGATACCCTTTCGCCCATTATGTCAAACCTTCTCCGCAGTACTAGGATATAATCCTCATATCTCGCCGCTACGCCGGATTTAGCTTGATGCCGATTGGGGGTTAGGGTGATCAATGGCGTATCTCCCCATTGTTCTTTCTCGCGAATATCCACCAGATCAACCTTGAAATCGAAAGTCTCCTCCTCATGTGCCAAAACTGGTTGCGTAGTCGTAGTCGAGACATTGGCAACATCCTGGAGGATCCCCCGGCGTGCAGCGCTGTAATCTTCCACCGACATGGGATAGTATTCTGCCTCTCAGATGGTGATGACAGAGTGTGCTGTAGGTGTCAAATTATTCCACAAACTTGAGCTTCAGATGGTGCCTGGTAGCATGTTAGGGTTACCACCTACCTAGGTATTCTGCACAAACTCGATTGCGGCTGAGCAACAAAGGTACCAATCGTAACTTCCACGTATTCAAATCATGCACAAAACATCGAGGCGCAGCTCATATTTCTAAACACGTCATCATGAAGATGCATCGAAAGATTTCCGATCAACGCAGCCTTGTCTCGTTCAAGGTCATCAATTGCAAAGCAGCCTATCGTAAAGACCGATTCAGGCCTTAGTAAGACGGACGAATAAGTTTCGCCTCCTTGCTGTATATCAGCAGCTGAGCTGCAAGGCAGAATCGTCCTGCAGAACAGGATCTTCGTCAGCCCGTGCCGAGATGGGTTAGCGTCATGCAGCCTCGTCGCTCAACGAGCAGATTACAAACACTCTGATGCGTAGCCTGACTCTCGAATGGCCGATTTTGAACCTTAAGAGTCTAGACCACGGAGCCAGACTGCGGGTTATTACTGGGGTTCGAGCTTACGTGCATGGTTGCGACTACTCAGCCCCGAGCCTTGCAGCTCTACCAATATGAGGCCTTCGGGCTTAGCACACCCATGTCCTTCACATGACCTAGTATGGGACGATCCCGATACATTCTATCGTAGATTGTGAAGCTTTCGGTTTGCGAAGTTGCTGGTTCACGGATACCTAGGGCTCGCAACCTGAACTTTGGAAGTCATGAGCACAGAACAATCGCTTTTGTAAGATACACGCGCGACGAACTCATGTTAAGGGCTGACTTCGTAGCGAGCGAGAAAAGCAGACTTCGCCTCTAGAGCTTGGGTACAAGTTACCTGAAAAGCCGAGCAAACGAGGAACTCTCTCTAGAAGCAACCATGTATTCACATTCCAAGAGAAGAATATCATGAAACGAGCGACCGAACATGAAGAATACAGCAAAGGTGGCATGCGCTTAACTGGGCTACCAAAGTTCGACGATCTCAAGAACTACGGCATATCTACGAAGACCGAGAAACACCTCTGGACATTGGAAATTCGACGATTGGCAGCGGATGCGGCCTCGGAAGACGCTCTGATCTTCGACAGTAGCGGAATCTTCGACCGAACAGACTCGACGACATTTGAGAATCTCTCAAATCTTGCTGATCAAATTGCATGCAACTTTTGCATAGTAATACATGACAATACCCTCCACATACTGGAACATTGCCGTTGGATCTCTACCCTTTCGACAGCAGTCCGGAACTTCAAAGATGCCAGAACACGACTCACCACCAGATTTGAACAAGACGAAGAAAAGGTGAAGGCTCGTCGTCCAAAACTACTCGAATCCGCCGACGACAACCGCAAAGTATACTTCGCACTCGTTGATTACATCACTAGCCATGTTGCCAGACTGATGGTGCGCTCCGCAACAGGCGATTATTGGAACCATCACTCCCTGGCAATCCTGGCCAAATGGTCTGCGAAGCTGAAGATACTGTCCTATAACCCGGCTCAATACGCCTCTCTATCTCTGGCTGCCGCGGAAGACTTACTAGAACGCATGACCGATACCGAGGCCAAAGAGAACCTACAGGTACTGAAGGTTCGCGCTACAGATGCGAAGGCCGATAACAAGGACGATATGGACATCGACTCGCAAGCCGAAGCCGACATCACAGGCTACTACTTTCAGGATCATTACGGAATGCAGGTCTTCCTATCACAGCTCTTCAACTACGCGGTTAATGCCCTGTACGCATCTGAGAAGACTGGAAATCCGCCTAACAGCTTCGAGGTCTGCACACTAGTATACGAGACGGGCCTTCGACGAAGCTTGACGGTAATATCGAGCGATCGCAGAGGTGACGTGGCAGCGACTTCGGACGCTACGCATGTGACCTGCAGCTACACTGCTTTTCAGAATTTGAGAAAGAATTTTGAACATCTCAAAGCGGAACGCCAACCGCCCCGCGACGATGCGCGTGACCAAACAAGTATCCACTGTCAATACAAAGACGGCTCCGTATCACAAGACCACGTCTTCCGTACATCACGCTTCGACGACATAGTTTCCATCATGATTCCTCTTTCATTGACTGATCCGTTTATCGGAATTGGAATGGGTCTGATGCTGGACTTTGCAACTGGTAACAGCGAGGACGAAGATCCCGTGTTACAGTTTGAACGGAAACATTTTACCGCCAAATTTGTTGTTACGACTGCAGCGTGGGAAGACAGACAGCATAAGCTCAAGTTCGCCAATGTTGCTCGTCAACCTGATCTTGAAGTCTTGTCAGTGTCTCAAAGCCCTTTGAGTAAAGCGATACGTGGTAAGGCTATTTCAACCTTTTCGGATTGTTTAGGCTATACTGACTTTGACAAGCTGGTACTAGTTTCAAGGACATATTAGCAACACCCCCAGGGCAGGGAAAGATTGATCCTCTATCATCAGGTGGTAGCCCGGGTAGCCTCAGCCAAGCCAATTTAGAGAAACAGAGGCTCGCGGAGACACGTATGAACGACTGGATCATATCCGAGCTCACGGTGACGCTCAAGTGCCACCGCTACGTCTATACCATTCTCTTTATCTGCGTCGTGCTCATATGCGGGGCAACGGCCGTCCCTTTCTCAGTACAAAACCGCCTCAAGGGAGTCGATCCATTCAACATCACAACCTTCGCTTGGCTGTTGGCTGGTTTCATCCTTGTGATTGCGAAATCGCGATATGTTTGTGAATGGCCGTGGCATGACTTCCTTCGCGGACGCGTGGTGTGCAAATCGATCAAAGAGATGGCCGACGTAACGGGTGACGACGATCAGATGATCCTGACTAGTCTACTTCACAACGAGCGCGACACCACGCTCATCACCAAAGGCCCGTATAACGGCATGTTCGACAGACGAGCTGAATCTGGCAACGAAGGATTCAGCATCGACATCCCCGTGCACCTATCGACGATGCTTGCCAGCGGTTTCATTGTGCTGAAAGTTTTGTCTGTAAAGGGCGAAAGACTGATCTGTCTAGATGTCAGGAAAGGCTCGGAGTGGGGGTCTAGTGCGGCGTTGCGACTTCAAAATTCAGAGTATTTGACGTGCACGGACATGGATGATGACAGCAATGTTAATGAGGAGGTCCGGGAGAGTTCTCATGGTACAGCTGGGAAGAAGATCATGAGGCTGAGTAGGATTCATTTCACGTGGACGAGGGTGCTGGGCGTGTACGTTAAGGATTCGTTGTTTGGTTGATCTCATACCTAGGTAGTGTGGGGTGGAAGTAGTGTATCATGCAGCATCGATCACGTTACAGCTCTGTCTTTGCAAATAGACGTGTCCAGTTGGTAGAGTGTAACGCGAGTTAAAGGGTCGAGACGGCGAGGTGGTGACCTCGGCTGTGAGATAAGCGACAATCACGTGTCGACGAGTAACTATCTGCAGCCAAGCTGGCTACCGACCGCCTCAACCCCGTTGCGACAGGGCGTCTTGCAAGATGTGAATTCCAAACGCTACGGCTAATCAAACGAGTCATTATAACGAGCAGCTTGGTGCCCTAGCAGAAGATTGCTGCATTGTCTTGCGTGGATTGTTGGGAGATGTTTAGCGGCGGGCGCGCTTCGGGTCGTTTTCAGGCCACCCGTGGACTCCGCACTTTGCTTTACTGCTGGCTTCTGTTCGGATTCCTCGACACCCATTCACAAATTACAGCTGCACACTAATATCCGCCACAATATCAAACATGCGCGCGCGACAGTAGATGTCTGCATGTGACAGTATACGTTGTTCTGAGGATCTGATATTTGCCTGTCAATCCGCTGAGCATAGCCTGGTCGCTTACGGTACCGGTGAGGCAATGGCTTTTATCGTGGCGGGATGTCCGCAGCCCGTGACTGTGACCATTGGCCCGCTACGACACAAAACCGGTGGAGATAGTCCTGCTCTTAGCGAAGTACCACCCAGAGCGCGAAAGAGCCACAAGAGCGGTTCACGAAGCCCGATATGTGGTGCCTACATGCCTACATTTGGCGTACGCAGGTTCGCTTCTCCCTAGCCTTTTAATTCCTCGATAATCATTTCCGACCCATATCATTCGATCGAAGAAGAATAATAACCACAAGAGGACGCCCTGGACACTTGTGCAGATATCGAGCAGGTAATGCAAAGCGACGACACGTATGCAATGGGAATGACGTCTAAAGACGTTCTCGAGTCAGAATCCGACGCCAGTTCCGAATCCGAGCCAGATCCTCATGAGTCGCTGTGGAAGAACCTTCACTCTTCCATGTGCACCAGTGTGTTCGAAAGAACAGAGCGCAAAGAGTTTCTACCCCGAGACGCCCTCGAGAAGATATTCAAAAGGACCGTAGCAGGTCCGAGCTGCAGACGTAATCTAGTGCTTGAAGTTATGGGTATAGATTCGAGCAGGCCTAACGAAGACGACAGAGCACTCGCGGACTACATTCTGGACAGCGCGCAGAAAGTCTTTCTCATCGCAGTTTATATACGATTGGAGCAACTTCACGCGGCAATGGAACTCTTCAAGGTTTCTCAGTATGAAGATATAGATTTGCCGGTTAAAGACTATTCAGGACGACCGCGGCAAGATCTATCAAGGTGCCATCCATTCGAGCAAATGGAGACTGTTCAAAGGAAGCTTAGGAGAAAAGACGGAGTGAAGAACCGAATGCGCATATGGAATATCCATACCATCATCAGATTCCAGGATAGCCAGTGGATTTTTCTGACACCAATCATCTCAGCTCGTGATGAGCAACGCAATCTCGATGATCGCTGTCCCATACCTTTCACTACGAAGAACACACAACAAAGCCGCGGCGCGCATGGTGTTGTAGACAAGTATACTATTCACCCTGCCCATTTCAAGAAATCACTTCATCAGGTAATTCACGTCACGGCCCACGATTGACTGGGATGTATGAGCTAACGGCGAATCACAGTAC